CTTGCATCAGAACATCTGTTCATACTTCTCTGTGTACCTGCTGATTCTGGTCTTCTGGTGGAGATTTTAATATGTGATGGTTTGATGCTGGTTTTTCTGAGGAGGGCGAGCAGCAGCTGTTTCCCCAGGCGACCCAGCCCGAGGATCCCCACACAGAGCTGCCTGTCCTCCGCCGAGGCCGCTGGCTCTCGGTGGCTTTTAATAGCACATCTGGACACAAACCAGCTTCAGTCATTTATAACACAAAGTGTGCAAGAAGTCGCCGTAAAGTTAAACTTCAGCAACATTAATTACCTCAGCGAGTGGACGAGCTCGCACGTGAACGCTGCGTGCGCGCACCCGCAAAACGTCAGTCCAGCCGCGCGGGCGCGAAGATAAATTAAGTCCGTCTCGTCCTCGGTCAGCCCACTTTCAAAGCTGAGACTGCTCAGATCTGCAGCTATGTCCATCCCAAAAAGAAAAAAAATGACCACAGGCGACGCGCTTTAACCCTTAAGTGGGGAAAAGTCTGCTTCATCTTGTCGCCATGGCAACACAAACTTCCGACGTAATGACGTAACATTTTAAAGGCTTCCGACGTGATTGGGCAATTTATAAATTATCTTTAAAATAATAGAATTTAAAATTGTCAAAATATATTTATTATTTTGAGCACGTCTGTCAAATTGTTTATGCTTTTTTGTTAAATTCTTTGTATGCACATTCATTAGTAAATAAAGTTCTGTTTTTTTTTTTTAAAAAGACTGCAAATTTAAAGAAAACAACAATAAAAACACCCAACAACCCTCCATAGCGGTGAATTTAACTGTTTTTATTTCCCTTTCATGCTTTTAATACAAATTCATGAGTCACCTGTACACGTATGTACAAGAAATATTACTCTTCCCACATAAACAAGAAAGTGAGCAAATAAATCAAATGTCTGTAACACAACATGTCACGCCAAACATCAATATTCAAACATACATTTAACAAAAAAAAAAAAAAAAAGCAGAATATTAAGACTTTGCTCGAGATGTACTTTCTCGTACGAGTTTGAAAACGGCAGACCGAAGGAATAAAGCTCGTCGACAGTCCTTAAATTTAACAAAGCAGCTTTTCAGGACAGCAGCTTCTGTGAAAATTACGCAACACTGATCACAGGTCAAAAATAAAACTGTGAAACTTTACAACAAATTCGGGTTATCCTCCAATTCGCCATTTATTTGGGCAAAGTAACCCCTCGAGTCACCTAAAAGTGCTGAAAGTGAACTTTACACAGCTTTAACACATTCAGTTTCTACTCTTGTTCTCTTATATTTGCATGAAATGTTACACATTAGGAATATTTACAGTAAATAACAAGGCCCACGTACAGTACGTATCATATAAATTAAGGGTCATTACAACTATAACGTTAGTGTTTGTTGACACCAAGTAGGATTAGAGAATGTAATCACACAATCTGTAAACAGGGCTGAAAATGAAGCCAATGAGAACCTATTTCTTCCTTGTTATGCGTTTACATTTGAAATAGCACTGTGTATCCTACAACAGAATATAATCCACATTAAGACGATATGTGGCTCATCCTTATTCACACATCCCTTGATTAAACATACAGCTGGACGATGCTGATGACCATGAAGGCACTGTGAGGGAACTGGTAAGCTGACACAAGCTGAATCACGGGAGCTCAAACTGCCACGAGATGAACACTATTTTATTTACACCACAGCTGGCAGTCCACCTCACCTTTCTCCACCTTCCGCTCAGAGGCTGTGGCCGCTGCACAGTCGAGGTTTCTGTTACCGTATGGCGATCGGAGCTACTCCTCGCCCTGCCTCCATTTCTGCGACTCCTCCTGCCGTGCGTCTGGGTGGATCTGGTTTCTCATCCCACCCAAGACATTAGAGGTGGCTTCAGTGGCCATAATTAGTGGTTTGACTACTGCTGGTGGCAGCTGACGGAGAACTCCGCCAACTGCTCCAGTCATCCCACGCTGCTCGTGCTCCCGCGTGGCCGTGTCGTAGATGGTCAGTGCAGTGTCTGTGATCCCCTGGAGGTGGAAAGTTTTATTTTTCATTAATGTATCCTGAACAAAAACAGAAACTTGACATGGAATATTTTATGAAATCCTATCTTGAGCTGCCATAATTGTTATTCATGTTAAAAATGTATTTAATATGATTTGCATATTTTATTTTCTTAACAGACAAGGGAAGCACTTTCTGCTTTTAGTGTTGCAAGGGTGACACGTTTTGTTTTTCATTTATTCACTATGAAGTCGTTCAAGGCGCACATGCAACAAGTAAAGGGCAAGAACGTCATACAAGCACTGAAAGGTGGCGTCTGCAAAGGCAACTCTTTTTATGAGGATCATTGTTCTTTTGGTAATGTGTTGTTGTTTGCGACGTGAAGCGGACTCGTTCCCTCTTGGCGTACACGCGGCCAGCGAGGTACGTGCTAAATGCTTACAGTGTTTGTTTATCTTTAGTTTTAGTCATGCTGCTAATGTGTTGTATGTATTTGTGCATGTTTGACAGTTCGACGGTGAGTTAATGTGGAAATGCGTTGTAGTGGCGATAAACCCGTCAGTGGTACCAGAACCATGGTCTTGTCTAATTCCTGGAGGGAGTGATGCAATCCATTCTACTTAACACAGAGGAATTAGTATTTGGTGTTTCAACGCAATGCATCTCAACAACAGAATGGACGTCATGAAACAACCAAGTACAGACGATATCTCTACATATATATATAACGGACAGAGTGACAGACTGGAAGGATTTCCTATGAGACAAATGGTGGAGTTGAGGACGTTCCATGCCGTAACACGGCAGCATGCCAACTGTACGTGTTTCTCATATCATCTGTGGCATCTGTCATTTGAATAAAGCCACACCTGACTAGTGTCTGGATTCACTCAATGAACAGCTCAAAAATGTTTTACACACAACTCACAATTTTTTTTGCCTTTTCTAATAATAGAAATCAGATTTAGCTTTTCCTCTATGCTAGAAAAGGACTTTATATTTCTGTTCAGTGTAAATGAAGTACTGTCATTTCCAGACTATAAGCCGCTACTTTTTTCACACACTTTGAACACTGTGGCTTAAACAATGATGCGGTTAATTTATGGGTTTTTACAAATTTGCCTCAAGACGTATGTGACATTGAGAGCGACAACGAAAGAGAGACTATCAGCCTTAGTCTTCTTCTTTTACCTCTTTCACCACAGTGTAGGCTTTGGCTACACCTTCTCTCAGGTCGACAGGTTGATGAGCAAGTCCATAGTGGGAGTACCGTTTTATTCTCTTAGTGTCTCTCTCATCAGGAACAGGAGACACCATGTCGTAGGCCGTCTCAGCTGCGGCCTAAAAAAAAGATAAATCACAGTTACAACAACGATGAATTAGTTTGATGCCTTCTAAAGGAATGAGCAATGAATACATACTTTTAATTGTCAGTGGAGAACCAGTTTACCTGGATTGTTCGCACCATCCTGTTGGTGAGCTCCAGAGCAGCCATAGCAGTAGAGGTTCCAAAGGAGGCGGTGCCGCGCTGAAATCCACGAACTATCCGACCGTCCTTTCTGTACTGCTCGATTGGGAGCCAGACCAAATCCCTGAGTCCATGAACTGAAGAGGAAAGTCATGTCAAAAATGGGAAAGTATCTGAGAGATGCACCTGGATCATCGTCATAGTAAGATTATTCATGCAATTATAAACTACCAGTTGTTCCCAGACACTAATCGAGCCTGATTCAACGCTTTTATTAACAACTTTTACACAGCAATTTACTATCCAAGTAAGAAACAGGTGGACAAAAATGCAGAATATGGCAATGTGAGTAGCTGACAATGCTAAAATCATGTGTCTGGGTTTAATACTAGTGTGACACTCACCGAGTTTCACCAGAGTGTGAATAGGTGCCACGCCACTCAGTATCCCTTGAAGCTGGTTTGTCTTTATGTCATTGAGCCACTCGTTTATTGCATAGGAAAACAGCTTATCCACTCCCAGTAATCTGAAATACAGGCAAGTATTATTCTCCTGTGAAAGAAATTTTTCCTCTGTGAATAGTATTTTAAACTATATACAGTATGAGGTGTCATTGTGTGTGAAAGAAATGTGCTTATTGACTGTGTAACAGGACATTCTGAGATAAACACACCCTTGTCTGTAGCACAACTGCCGCAGTTTTAACTCGGAACAATTCAGCTGCGTCAACCCGAAAATGATTCCTGCAAACGTTCCCTGAAACAGAGAAGTCATAAAGTCATTCATAAAGCCCCAATAACATCATTTGGAGTTAAAACAGTTCCCTGTTAGACCGTGTACCTGGTCCATCGACACGTGTTTTCCATGGTAATCCAAGCGAATGGGAACCTCAGAGGTAAATCGAAACTCCCTGTTAGGAAGAGAAGACGTTACCCAACAGAGACAAGCACGTTATGGATTTTAGGTGTTTGGAATATTTCATTATGTCCCACTGACCTAAAGAAGATTGGCTGGTCTGTGAAGGGAGAGGCAGAGGCTTCGCTGTCGTTCATTTCCTCCCTGCCAGATGTGGAGAAACCGTTGTGGCTCAGTCGTCTCTGAGCAGGCACTGAGATGATCGGGGCTGGGTCCTGGCTGCTACCGGCGTGCTTGGAGAAGCTGCAGGAGATCTCCGGGGCAGCTGCTTTCTTTGTCGTGACACAGACAGCTGCGAAACGCAACATTACAATCGTGAATCTAAGTTAGGATTTACAATAATAAACGTCTGTGAGACTCAACGGTCCTACCTTCTTGTGCAGGTGGTGAGAAAAACTCAACTTCGGTAGCAAGACTAGTAAAGAAGTCCTTCAAGAAGAAAAGTGCATCCTTCAAGGAAACAAAAAACAAGGCTGTTACGTCAAGACTTTGCCAGATTTCTGACACATTAGACCAGTCATCTGTATCCGACTGTCTTACCTGATCGATATTGAGGCGAAGAGGCATCAGAGAGACACGTAAGCAGCACTCGGGGGGAGCCTGGCCCGACTCTGGACACATGTGCAGGGCCTTAACTGTCAACTAAGAACAAAAGCACTCGTGAAGCTACAAAAGACCACGGCTTGTGATTGTTTTGAGCATGCTGTCTTCCTCACCATGTTAGAATGGGCTTTTCGGGGCATTTCCTTGCTCGAGTATAAGTAGAGGAACTTGTTCATCTGTGAGGTAGCCAGTCTGTCTCGAATCTCCAAGTCTTGCACAACAAACACCTGTCGGGACACTGGCTGGTCCACTGCTGAACGAGACGCCACCGGGGGCTGTGGATACACCTCGTGCTGAAATCTGACCTGTGGAAACAAGAAAAGAAAAGTTAAATGGTAAAACAAAGCCTTTATATGATCTGTGTTAGTTTATCCTCATCAACAAGTATTGCAGGAGGGAGTAAGCTCACCTTGCTGAGCTGGATCTCCATGAGGACATCAGGGTTCCT